GAATAATAACGAATCACAAATAGAAGTAAAGGGCCATCATCGGTATTCCTAATATCACTTGCTACTACATTTTTGATTAGCTGTAGAAGATCTGAGGATAACTTGTATTGGGATGAGCGTCATGACTGATGCAACTGTTGATGCTCAGTTGATGGATATGGTGTTACTTGTCACCAAAATGGAATTGCACTATAAGCTTTAGTCCTTAAATGTATTCTTGATATTTTTACTTTATTATATTGTCTAGATAAGTTTGTGGTGGTGTTTTCTCAACCCATTTTTTTACAACTTGAAATCAAACCCTCCCTAGGATTGACCATTCTATTCTAAAATTGCTTTGTCTTTGTGTATATAACACTACATCCTGAGATGTGCTGAGTACCTGCAACTCCCATTGACTTCATTGCAATTCCAGGAGCCCAGTGCCAGTCAGGATTTGGCACTTTTTTAAAAGTCATGTTGCAAATTAAAATAATTGCCTACATTTTGGTTATTCTGTTTCATCAGAAGAAAATTCTGGTTGATAGAATGCAATTCAGTTGGATTTTTAAGGCCTGATATTGCATTCTGGAAGATACAAGTTCTTAAAATGTCAAATTTGTTGGCTCTTCTGTACAATGATCCTCCTTCACATATTGTAAATCTAGCTCTGGAGTGGTTTGCAGTTTTGTACTACAAAACACATGGGGTGAAATCCTGGCATCATTGAAGTCAATGGGAATTTTGCCATATTAAATAAAACATTGTTGTATAACATTGTACTTTTGGGTATGAAAATTACTAAGAATCTTGTTCTTGGTGTCAAGGTCAGAATAAGTTAACTCGAATTATCCCAGATATGGGCTGAGTTATTAGATCAACAATGACAATGTGTGAAGTCCTATCCCCACTGAAGTCAATGGCAATTTTGGGAACTGAAGTCAATGGGAACTCAGTCCATATCTCTGTTTCTGCTCCTTTAAAACATACCTTCTTTACATCCTTTACCAATCCATTTTGTCTGATCATTGTGTCCCTTCCCTATGGCATAGTTGCACTGGATAGCCACACCACATTTACACAATTACATACATCATAGCCTAATTCCTGTCTCGTGTTCACCCAACTAAGCCCTGCTGAACCTGCTTTGAGGAAAGAAAAAACAAACCAAAAAAAAACACTTTGCCTTCGCCAATCTGGTGGCGAGGGGAAAAATCTCCCCCCCATCCCTCCCCCCTCTCCCCCCCCCGAGAAAGGAGCAACTAGTGCAATGCTCACAGCAGAACCTGACAAAACCTGGTATTTTACCACTTCATGGGTGGCAGGATGGGTGCTGGTCTAGGTAAAAGAGGGCTTTTTCTGCACCAGCATGGATCTATATAGTCCCCCTTCTCTTATGGTCACCTCTGGATGACGGGTCAGAAACTCCTTGCTGCCCTGGTCTGCTGCTTCTGTCAAAAGTCACTCCTTTGCTTTCTAGTCCTTAAAGGGGGCACACTTTTTTTCCAACAAGCCAGACAACGGACCCCATTGTTTAATGAGTGGTGAGGTCAATATTATGGTCTTTTGTAGCCAATGCAGCATCAGGATAGCCCATCGCCCCATCCGTATGCTAGAATAAAAGAACTGAGATTGTTTGTGAAAAAACATTTCATTAAATGTAAAATGTCCTGTAAAACCTGTGAACCTGTGAACTTGATAAACCTCTTTCCATGGCATAGTCTGTGAATAGAATCCGCAGGTCGGTACTCTCACCCTGCTCTGGGGAAGAGGTCTCTGAATATAATAAATGTAATCTGAATCCCAGTGACATCTAATTTGATCTTTTCAATCAAGTGACACAATTGTAACTCAAAATGAGGGGAGCTGCAAAATAAGGTGGAAATAGCATGTACTTCACTGGTGAAACAGTGAATATTAGTCGAGGGATCTTGATTTTCTTTATAAAATGTCATAGCTGCAGAGTCTTAGTAAGGCGGCTTCCCAGACAATGCACGGAAAAACTAAAATGTTATCGGCTTATTTGTCTTAAAACAAATATTTTTGTATTGCATACACTTTTAGGTGTATTTTGGAATAAGGTCTGTGTCATAAAATCAAAAGCAGCTGTACAGATTCGCTGTATTTCTTGTGTAGTATTTCTGTTGGGGTTTTCTTGCAAGACTATTTGACACCCTTTTAATGATTGCTGAGGGGTTTTAATTTATTTTATTTTAAATGTGCTGCAACACCCTAGCGCCTCAATAACGGAGGGGAGAGATTGTATCATTATAAATATTATTTCCACACTCTCAGGCTGTTTTGTAGGAACATGCTATCAATGGGTGTTAATGACTTAAAAGAATGATCCATTTGTGCTTTTATACGTGGGGCCTGATCATGGATTTGTGCGCAAAAAAGCAGGCAGGCAGTGTACCACCAAAAGAGTGAGAGGAAGTCTGCTGGGCAGCCAGCCCAGAGCATAACCCACAGAAGTGCACCTTGATCTTTAAGTGCAGAAGGAAACTTAAGAGGCAGTTTTATATATTGCAACCAGTGAAAATGAGAGAGAGAAGATAAATGTATTTAGCTAAGTCATCCAAGAAAGCACCAATAAGCACAGTGAATAGACCACTGGACTGGGACTTGGGAAACACATTCAGTTCCTGGCTCAGCCACAGACTTGCTGTGTGACCTTGGGTACATCAATTAATCTGCCCTTTGCCTCAGTTCCCCACATGTTAAAACGGGATGATATCTAACCTCACAGGGTGTTGAGAATGAAATCCATTAATGATTGCCAAGCATTTCAGTGCCATGGTGATGGGGGGGTCACATAAGTAGATTGATCTTGCTGCAGGCATGGGTGAAATGTTAGGATAGAGAGACAGATGAGATCAATGTTTAAAATGATGGCACAAAGAGCTTGATAGAGAAAGGGCTGGGATATTGAATCAAAACCAAGTAAGTAGTCCCTACCCAACCTAGCCATACTCGTGACCCCTCCCCACCATCGAAAACAACCAGCCCTGGGGGCTGGAACATGCCATTCTATCTATATTCCTGCACTTGTATCCATTTTTCAGTGACATCTACCTAGTTCTCTTGGTGTGCCCCTTTCCGACAGCATTGTTAGCAGAGTCTTGAAGCATCACTAAGCTAACCCAACTGTTCAGGCCTTTTAACAGGACTCTTGACAATGTGTATGTGCTTTCCTGCTTCAATTTCCTCCACTCCTCAGGAAAATTCATACTTTCCTCAGTTCATCCTAGTTGGATGGACTTCAGCACATGCCATAATCTTGGTCAGTTGGTCTTTCTTAGCATTATTCAGCACTCATTGGGCTTCTGAACCCATATAATGATTATGTTTGCTTCAGTATGTCCTGTGTACAGCAGCTCAACACCTAAACAAAAATATTCCAATCAGAAAGAGTCAGGCAGTGAGCAGACTTTAATAGTGATGTGAAAGCCACTTCCAAAAAGAACTGCCCCAACACACATGTGTGCAAGATCTTCCTGCCTGTAGAGTTGGTTAAACAAAGCTTGTGAGGATATCTATGTAAAAGTATCATGTGGTGACTCCCAGTAATGTTACAAAATCATCCCACTGTTTTCTCCTCCCTGCGCTTAATCACTCCACTCTTACAGAGATACATCTGCATGGTCATATGTATCCGCCTAATTGCATCACACATACACGATGACCCATCTCCTTGGCTCTGCCAGTGATACCAGACTCATCAGCTCACTTACAAGTTTCTCTTGAAAATATCACAACACTCCCTGAACTGACCTTTATGGCCACTATCCTCCTCTTTCATATTGCTCCTCAGGATTCATCTCTGCTCACAATGTCTTTAAGAAATCAACCAGTTAAGGATGGATTTGGTAACATGTTGATGGGGATAAGTGACTCTTGTTTATAATTACTAAAAAATACTTCTGTAGATGTATATATGTATATAAAAATATATCAACTCCCTCTTCCACTTGACTTTTTAGATTGCATGCTGCTTGGAATAGGAACAGTGTCTTCTTATGTGTTTGCACAACACCTTGCACAATGGGGTCCTGATCCTAATGAGGGCCTCTGGGTGCTACTATCACATAAATGTAAAATTAAAATAATCACTATTGTTATTAACTGCAGTGCATGCCAGCTGGACCTGAGTAACTTCTAAATAAGGAAATTCAACATGAACTTCCTCTTCCCCCTTTTCTGTTCTGCTATGATTCGAATCCATTTGCCCGTTCCCTCAAGTTTAGCTTAGTGTTTCCTTCTAACTTCCCATGCCTGCTACCCTAGTGCACACCGTCAACTCTCACCTCCACCTTGAACTTCCCACAGCTGGTGCTTTTTGGCCACCATCTTCTCCTTGCTCAGATGTCTCCTTCTGACATAGATAGCTCACTTCTGCTGTAAAGCCTATAAGAAACACAATCAGTTAAATTGAAGGGCCTTATTCTCATTTACTTAAAGACCTTTTACACAATTGTGGTAGTGGAAAATGGGACTTTAAGTGGACATAAGTTACACTTACACCCCCTTTCAGGTCCCTTTACACTACCCAGATGGTACAAAGCGTCCTTAAGTGAGAATGAGGCCCAAAAACTTTATCAAATTTAGTCACCAAGAAGCATATGTGAACTAGCAAAGCTGCCACATGCTATTTATGTAACCCTGCCTAATCCCACCCCACTCCCCCCCTATTGTTTTCCTCTGCCACACACCTTTGTCCTGCCGTGTTAAATTGTAGAATGTAAGCCCCTTGAGGCAGGGACTGTCTGTTTGTTGAGGTATAGAATCATAGAATAGAATATCAGGGTTGGAAGGGACCTCAGGAGGTCATCTAGTCCACCCCCCTGCTCAGAGTAGGACCAATCCCCAACTAAATCATCCCAGCCAGGGCTTTGTCAAGCCTGACCTTAAAAACCTCTAAGGAAGGAAGGTGTATCTCACACCCTTGGGCATGACAGAAACAATAAATAATCATAATTATTCTTCATTAAGCCATGGTGTCCTGCTTTTTGTGGTTATAGATAACACAGCCAGTATCCTGACCAGACGGAGGAGATTCAGTCGAACTACTCAAGATGTCTACTACCTCCCGATTTTGATTTCTGATAGTGGAATCCCTTCTCTCAGCAGCAGCAGCACCCTTACGATCAGGGTCTGTGCATGTGAGAGAGATGGGCGCGTTCGGACCTGCCATGCCGAAGCTTTCCTTTCCTCAGCTGGTTTGAGCACAGGAGCCTTAATTGCAATTCTGCTCTGTGTCATCATTCTTCTGGGTAAGCCACTCTCTTAAATACTGATATCCTTTCATTAGCCTTCAGAATGTGGCAGTAGCGGCTTTTAATATAATGTGTTTCTGAACCAGGGATTACTTGTGAAAAGAGGTAATTAGAAATATAAAGCTGTGGTTCTATATATAGGTTTTGCTAAAATGAATAGGAAAAGTGCCTTTAAAGCATACTGATGAAAAACTGTCATCCTGTAGAAAAAGATTTCCAGAGGTCAGAGTAATTAGCATTGCAGAGCTTCCCAGGTAATTTGGAAAGATTTCAGAAACTCATTGACTCAAGGATCATCTCTAGACCAGCTGGAAAAATGATAAAGAAGAGAGATGAGGACAAAAAAAATTGAATTGCATTACTCTGTAAGAAGCACTATTAATACTGTACAAAAGCCACTTTCTAATTACCTCTGTGGGATGAGCTGATATCAATGCACAACATAATCAAGAGGGGCAGGGGACATATTAAATGATAAAATGATTACATTAGATAAATGTCCTTGGATATGAATTTTCTCTATTTGCCCAGACCAGTTTTAATTTACCCATTACTTAATATTCTCATTTGGCAGAGATACAACATGCTGTACATAAACATCATTGTACTATCCATGTGTTTTTATGCATTCTAACAGAGAATGTTTGAAACAATGGGATTTGTCTCGTGACCCACATACATTTCTTAAATCAATGAATTTATCTTGAAAGCCTGTGCTCTTTCTACCGATTCCTTTCGCCACAGCTTATATCAGCCATTTCCTGGGTTTTAGAGTATAATTTTAAAATGTACAGAAATGCACTTGAGTTATGTTATCAACGTTACAGTCACAATATGTGCAAATACATGGACATGCAAATGAAAGAGTGTTTTGTTGTTTTTCCCAAAAGGTAAAAACAAAACCTTGAAGATTTTAATTTGATAGTTAATTGCTTATTGATTTTAGTAGGAACTGGGCATCCAGATCCCTTATGCATTGTTGAAAAATCTCATCTTTTGTATATTAGGTGAAGATTTTCAAAGCAGAAATTAGGCACTTAAATCTCATTGATCATTAATAGGGGTTGGACATCCAACTGCCCTTTGTGCCATTGGAAATTTCCCTCTTAGTTGTAATAGGCACTGCTTGTTATAGTCTGGCAGGCTGCTGTGCCAACATGGAGCATCATTGATTTAAGTGGGACTCAACATGTTTACAGCAGACTGTCTGCATGTGACAACTTGCAGAATCGGGGCCTTATTGACAATGGAGCCTGTTCTTCCATCAGTGGGCCGTGCATGGGAGATAAACCTTAGCTTACTCATAAAAACTCTAGTTTATGTGTATTACATATTCTTCCAATGTTTTACATTATGTGTGCCCAATTTTATGACACACAGAAACACATAATTAGCTCAGTGGTTTGAGCATTGGCCTGCTAAACCTAGAGTTGTGAGTTCAATCCTTGAGGGGGCCATTTAGGGATCTGGGGCAAAAATCTGTCTGGTGATTGGTCCTGCTCTGAGCAGCGGGTTGGACTAGATGACCTTCTGAGGTCCCTTCCAACCCTGATATTCTATGAATGTGACAATGCAAGTTCAAGCAATCTGAATGTTACAAGGGTCTATAATGGGAAGTGGGAATTTGAAATGTATGTGTTGAGTAGTGGAGCTGTTGAGGGGCATAGGATTGTAACTAAAGCTGGGTATTAACAAAAGTGGCCTTATGTTTACCAGTCCTGAGTAGCCACAATTTCCAGTGAAGTCAGCGCAAACTGCAGGTGTTCTGCACCTCTGAAAATCAGGATGCCCTTATTTAATTGCCTATGGTGGATTTTAGTGGCTGGATTCTCAGCAGGTGTAAATTGGCACAGTTCAATTAGACACCAGCTCCATTTCAGCTGCGAATCTGTTCTTGATGCCAAAATTTAGGCATCCAGCTTTGAAAATGTAGGCCATGGTGTATACAAACATACAGTTGAGTTAATCATAACTCCATTGAAGCCCAACATAATAATGCAAGAATCCAAATAGCAGTCCACAAGTGTCTGATCTGGTTTTTTTTTTAGGGGGGGGGGGGGGTAGAGAGAGGGGATATTGTATTTGTGACCCATGTAAGATATATGCTACTTATTTCATATATAATGTCTGTAAACCTAACCTAATATTTGCAATTTTCTCTTTAGCAATTGTGGTCCTTTTCATTACATTAAGACGCAGCAAAAAGGAGCCCCTGATCATTTCCGAGGAGGATGTTCGGGAAAACGTTGTCACGTATGATGACGAGGGTGGTGGAGAAGAGGACACTGAAGCGTTTGACATCACAGCCCTGCGGAACCCATCAGCTGCTGAGGAGCTGAAGTATCGGAGGGATGTGCGTCCTGACGTGAAGCACGCACCTAGGCACCAGCCTTCTTCAAGCCTGAACAGTATAGATGTTCATGAATTTATTAAACAAAGATTGGCAGAGGCAGATCTCGATCCCAGTGTGCCTCCCTATGACTCCATACAAACATATGCATATGAGGGTCATAGATCAGAAGCCGGATCTATCAGCTCTCTGGATTCAGTCACTACACACTCTGACCAGGATTATAATTACCTTGGTGACTGGGGACCAGAGTTTAAGAAGTTAGCTGAACTCTATGGAGAAATAGAATCAGAAAGAACAACTTAGTTACCATTCCTGGAACAAGAAGTGTTTTAGTTCCCAAACAGGAGAGAGAACCACAGCAGCGGTAACAAGAAATGAATACGGTACTTGGAACTGAGCAAGGTGTACACAGTTACTGTAGAAACAAGTGCCCTTTTCATATTTGAAACTGGGTTCTTCAACTGGAAGAAAATCAAATTTTGAAAAATACAGAAAAAAAAAGAAACAATTGTCCTTTGTGTATATTTTTTAATTGCTCAATAAAGTCTGTGATACCATATCCATAACAATACCTAAAATAAATGAAGCAATGACATTTTTATTGCAATATATTTAAACATACCAGAAAACAGTAAGTCTATGGTGGTGCCTGTTTGTGAGGATAGTTCACTGGAGAGCTTATGCAAGCAGTTGTGACATTGCACTTCAAGCTCTGCACTAGGATTGGGATCCCAAACTGAGATAACCAATGGGGATTGTTACTGTTATAATAAACACCAACAATCCATTCCTTTACAGAAGGGATACATTGGAATTATCCAAGCAAATGGCCTTTTGCTGGGCCCTTATTAGTAGTACATTGAATCTTATTGAAACATCAGGCTGCAGTGCAGGTATGCAGTTTTATTGTGCCCTCCCCTAATCTATTTCTCGATAACGAACTAATGGAGATAGGAAGTAACTGGCTGCCTGCATAGATGTGCATGCAGCCCATATCACAAGACCTGCACTGTTATTGAGTGGTGTAGAAGCTGTTGTTTCCATTGTCTGTTTCTTTTTTTTCTTTTTTTAATCTTTCCACAGGGACCTTGTTCCTCTAAATGGAATGGTATGGAATATTCTCTGTGCAGTGAAGCAGATGAGGCATAGGCTTTCTCAATAAAAAGAACCGCGGCAGTACATTTTAACCTATGCAGTACTTTGGGTCACTGTGCATCCTTAGGGGTCAGTGAATGAAGCTAACTAGGCTTACATTCCTCTGTGTCCAGGGGCTCCAATGGTCAATTTCTGATGCGAGGGATCTCCTATGTCATATTTATTTTGCATGTGTTACCAAAAGAAAAATAGACCTGCTGGTATGATGTTAACTGAATGTGGAAAACTGAGACAGCAAGGAATTTAAGACAATGCTCCTATGTTGTTGTTTTTTTAATGATAGTTAAATTAATTATTATTGCCCCAAATGCTGAAGGATCTTAGAAGTATCTCCCTCCAAGCTCAGCAAGGTTTTTTACTAATTTAAAATCTGATGGGTACACAAGTCTATTAAAATCAATGGAGGTGGAAAAAAATTGTAATGTAGAAGTGCCGTTACTGGGGTACATGTAAGTTGAGTAAATCAAGATATTCAGTTTCTAATTGTTTATCATTGTGGAATTTGCTTTTTCAGCATTTTAACACTTAATCCAACTTCCCACAGTTTTTCGATGGCTAGTGTTTTTAAAGTAAGTTTCTTCTGCTCTTCATCTTTCTCACACTCAGACTATAAAAGGATCTTCATCGTGATTAATGACCTTTAAGGTACAACCCAGCATTAGGAGCAGTGTGGAGCTGCATAGGCCCTCGGGGAGCTCCAGTTGAATTCCTTCCCAAGATAGGAGTGGCGGAAGCGCCCTAAAAGTGTGGGGGGGGGCACAGACACCCGAACGGTGTCTGGCCCTGCCCGCTATGCCACGCAGCCTCCCGCACCATCCTTGCACCACCCCTCTTCCCCAAGCCCCCGCCATCACACTGACCCTTCTGCCAAGACCCAGCCCCTGCAGCACCTATTCCCCTGATGCCCTGCTTCTGCACCACCACTTCCCACCCTGTTCTGGTACTCCTGTCCCAAGCTCCCTATTGCACAGGGGAAGACTGGCTGCTGCTATGCTACTCTATACCAGTCCTGTTCTGCTGGTAGTTGTGGAGAGGTGGAAAAACCATAATCCCACCTCCTCCCCACCCTTCCCTGCACCTTTGGGCTGCTGTATGCTCTCTGGTGAGTAGAGACGGAAGCACTTCTAGACTGTCCCACCAAGCAAAGACCTCAGTTGTATATGGCCTTTACATGAGCCACGTAAGGCAATTGGAAGGCTCCTTAGGACCCTCCTTCCCTACAACACAGCTGAACAAGGGCCAGACACAGATTGGACCCTAATGATCAGCTCACACTTAACATTACTTTAGATTTCTTGAATTTTTTTGCCAGCCCCTCATGAAATTATTGAGGTTTACATGGCCTACTGGGCAAATGGGCAGGAAGCTCACCCATTTTGAAAGAGAACTGAAGAAGAGCTCTGTGTAAGTTCGAAAGCTTGTCTCTCTCACCAGCAGAATTTGGCCCAAAAAAAGATATTACCTCATCCACCTTGACACTTTGAGAGAAACATTTAAAACTCCTTCAAGCTATTTGCTGCAGCACTTCTCACAAACTTTTATTAGGCACTTTCTCATCACCTCCTACTCCCAAGTACAACAAGCAAATTTTTTTAAAAAATATTGATGTGCTAAAATGAATTTGAACTCAACAAGAGTATATAAAAGCATAACAGTTGTAACAAGACCTGTTTGGGAGGAAAAGTGGAAAAAAATACAAAAGTAAATTTTCTCTCTCTTTTTTTTTAAGTTTGAAGTTCAAAATTTCAATGGGATTTGAAAAAAAAAATATTGGTCTACTTTACTTGTAATTTGAGATCTATTTAGTCCGGCATCCTGTCTCAATTTGTGCCCAGTGCAGGATGTCTCAGAAGAGAAGTCTTCATAGGATCGCATTCAAGCTGACATTCCTGGTCAGGACAGTACTGAAATATGTGCTTAATATAAAGTGATTTCAGTGGGAGTTAAGCACATGCTGAGTCCATGGAGCACATGCTTATGTGCTGTCCTGAACTGGGATGGACTTAAGCATGTGCTTAAGTGCGTTCCTGAACTGAAGCCATAATTTATTCAGTGATGCAATAACTGATGTGGAGACATTTCTTCCCGACGTAAATGATGATCAGTTTATGCCACCATGCTATTATTTGTATAGCACCAGTAGAGTGCTAGGGTAAGGAAACCACTCTGAGACAAAAGCTTTCAAAAGCTATAGTACCCATGTTCCATTATATTTTTATTACATCTGTTCAGAAACTATCCTTCATTATTATATTACAGTTGTGAGATATGGAATCTAGGGAAGTTTAATCTGAATACACCTTCCCCTCTGCCCCCAAAGAGGAGAAATGAATTGCAGTTTGAGTTTTGTGCAATATTTGAAAAGGTTCTTTTGTATTAATTGCATCATAGATACATGAAGGTTTAAAGCCAAATAAAAGTGAAGCGTAGTGACACAGGCAGATGGAGTTTCCTAATGCTCATATTTTGACATTGAGAGTAAGGGGGCACATCTCAGAAGAAGAGAAATCCCTGTTTGACCATTTGTAATGTTCCATATACCATTGCTGCTATGCTACACGTATACTGTACACAGGACGTGTGGAATTCTGAGGTGTTTAAAGTGCAAATTCCGCTGTGGGGTTATTGGGACTCTGCTTCACTGATGCTTCTGTGTGCTCGCTTTGCTATCGCCTGGCAACTATGAACTCCAAATGTGCTTTTATATCATGATAAGTCTGCATGCTTTGCTTACTGTCTTTTACTCAAATAAACATCACAGTGCTGTGTTGTTTGCATGACAAAGAGCAGAATACCAAATCTTCGGAGCCACAGAGAAGGATCTCAAGGTGGAGATCAAATAGGTTTGCCAGAGTTCCCCTCGTTACCTTTCCATTTTACCCTTGATTTTCTTGTCCCAGGAACAAACTACAACTATACTTGATGCTTTCTGTGTTAACATAATTAAACTGAAAGAAAAAGCTAACTCTGTGTGTCATAGAAGCCATGATCATTTTGTCACACTACTGATTTAAGCAAAGGTTACATGGAGTGAAAATATTGTGTTAAAATCTTTCCTAGTTGCGGTTGAGTCTGATTCTATAGACCGCACTTAAATCTTTCTTGGATCACTTGTATTAGTCATTTTTTTGAACAATTTACTCTGAGCCCAAACATTAATTCTATTGCAGCTCTGCCAGCTTAAGCACTGGAATCTGCTCAACTTTTCCTAAAGCTGGATGATCCTGAATCAGAATAAAGCTATCTGAGTATAATAATAGTTAAGTGCCACCTTACAGGGGTTACTTAAGCCTTACTAATTATTTCTGCAAAAGCTGGCTGATATTTACATCCAACCAATTAATCATATTAATTCAAACAAGTCTTTTTTGTTTTCAAGGTGCTGGCTGAGGGGAAATGATCAGCGCAAATACAGGGGGAAAGAATAGAATCTAGAAGTGCACTGTCAGGTTAAAAATCACAAAGCTTGATCCAATGCCTATTGAAGTTAATGGAAAGATTTTCATTGACACATTGGCATGGCCGGCATTACGGGGTAGGAAGCAGGGTAACTGCTTGGGGCCCCACACTACAGGGGGCCTCATGAAGCTAAGTTACATCATCTCTACAGAGTTACTATGGGTAAATGTAATGCGAGTATTACAGTAATTTAATCTCTTAAAGTGGAAAAAAATCAGACTGAAGCAGAGGTTTTGAAACTGTGGGGTGTGCCTCTGTAGGGGGTGGGGAGGGGTGAGCGGCCACAGCAGGTGGCTCAGGCTTCAGCCCTGGGCAGCATGGCTCGAGCTTCGGCTTGAGCGGAGTTGGGGCCCACTCCTTAGTTTCTGTCCTGGGCTCCAGCGAGTCTAACGCCGACCCTGCATGTTGTGTTGTTGGATTTGGCAAGAAATCAGTTTCTTTATCAGTGCTACTATTAACACCTTGGATGTGTTTTAAACTGAAAAAAACAAAACAAAAAACTAAAAGTCCAAAATATTTTCCATTCTCTAATGTGCTTTGTTTACTTTTAGCATTGGAACATGAAAATCATTGTAATCCATTTTGCTTTCAGATTTGAAGTTGCTCCTATGTTTGAATCGCAAATACTGCAGGGTAATACTCATTGCTATAACAACTATTTCTATTGGTACTTAAAAAAAAATGCAATGTTTCTGTTGTTCTTAGGCTTTGTAAAACCTCATTTTACAAAATTTTAATGTCAACCACGTTGGAGTTAACTGTGTCCTGTAAACTCCTCTAGACACTGTCATACAAAAGAATAATGAAGGAAACTTTAAAAATCTAGAGAATAGCAAATTGTGCTGCATAAGGTAATTGTTTTGGGATTGCAGTGTACTCGGGATCTTGTACTTGCCATTCATATAAAATAGCACAATGTATTCTGAGGAACATTAAAAGCAGCATTGCAAGTATTAGATCATTC